GAGAGCGGTTCTAATGTTGATGAGTCATCAAATGATGATGACGGTGTTTACCGTTTCACCATGGATACTTGAGTTCTCTCTGCCACTTCGTTATGTTCAGTCAATCGCTATGGACGATCCGTGAATATGGGGTGCGATAAGTTGCTGATAACACTTGCTCTTCCTCGTTGTTTGTCGATCATTCGGAAATTGAGAGCTCTGTCGCTACACGTACACTTCCCATGAGTTGAATCCAATCCAACTCAACTCGTCCAATAGAGGAACATGGCAAGAGAGGAACAGTAGATAACTCTGCATTGCTGTTATGTGATCACGATAAGAGCAATGGTCCCAACATCCCTACGATGTCTGCGCGGTGGATGCTTTCAATTCGCAAAGTGGGAGGGACGACTGACCCACCTTGTTGTCGAGAGCGAACTTTCATAAATCCGTGTGAATCTCACTCGAGCTGGATCAGCCGGCGCTTAATGTCCCGAAACATCTTCCATGAGACTCTCTTGTGGACTATTGACTCTCTTGGAGATCGGCACGTTGTCATCCGATATACTTTCCCACCGAAAATATGAAGGTTTCCTGGTGACGTCCACGATCAGTTACTCTGCAACACTACTCACTTGAACGATAGAAAGACAGCGGAAGTTACGCCGGACTATGAACATATATGGGAATATGTAAATCTAATCCGTCACTCGACACCGTTATTGAGCAGCATAAACAAGAGTGCTGGCGTGACGACAGCGTGTGTCACTGTGACACGGTGTGTGTGAGGTTTAAAATCCAACGCCGACAACACGGCTTAGTTCGACCCGCATCGATGCGCATTAACTCAGGAGGAATCAGTTTAAGTCTTTTAAATTGCCCACAGGGCGAGATAACCTCTGCCAAGATACTTCCTTTCCTCTCAGTAGGATCCACTTCCGACGTTTGCGACAGCGTCGTCATCCATCGCTTGCACACTAGCGCATCGCTATCAAGGTGTCACGGGGTACCGAGTCGTACAGTGTCTCTATTGGTAACCAAGTTAATGCTGATAGCGTTTCTTTATTTAGCCGACTTAACGTTTGACGAGATCTCAGCACGCAATTCGAATATCAGAACCGCGTTGCACAGAGCTCAATGAGAGCTTTCGAATGATACACATTTTGTTCATCAACTGTCACGCGCCGCGAAATTACATGGAGTGGACCTCGTTTTGTGCCACCCAGTATAACAGGTTTTCTGAGGTTGACTGAGCAGGCGACTGGGCCACAAAGACGGCGGAAGAGTTCCCCTGTTCTTCGACGTCAATCCCTTACCTAACCCAACGCCATCCATGGTCTGCAGAAGCAATAGGAGCCGCTAAGGTCACTAGTAGCGACTCGCTACATAATAGCATGAAAAGCCTGTAGCTCACGACTTGAGCCACAACCTGGTGATATGGGAAAAGAATGATCGATAAAGGACTCCCTCGTTGATGTCTTATCCAATAAGTATCATACCACACTCTCAGCGTCACACTGAGTGTGACACTGAAGTGTGCGCACCCGAGGGATCGAAAACTAGAGACATTCACAGCTCAATGGAGGGTTGACCAGATCAGGCAAGCGGTGATAAGCAAGAGATATGACAATACATGGTCGAAGACCAGTGAGGGGACGGCCAAGGAAGGGGTAGCGGCAGCAGCCGTCCATTCAAACGTTGACAATAATGTCTTTTGCCCGACCTGATCCTTGCGATGACCTCAACAGATCAGTAATGCCAGAGCCTACTTCGTTGTAGTTATTATCGCTGACAAGGTAGACGAATATACGTCCTGTACGTGGATCCCCTCGGACGGCCAGACCCTCCATATTATCAATATTATACCTGTAATTATAATAAGCCTTAGAATACCAACTCTCGTCCGATACTCATTGGAGCATTCGGCCTCAGTGGTATTCTTAGAGAATTCTTACCCATCTCTTGAAAAGATCTCCGCAATAATGAATGGCTTGATAGTCTCCCCTTTAGCGAGGACCTCTTGTAGCTCTGGCTTCGTGATATACCCTATCCTCATCCCATTACCCTCATTCGGGACGAATCTAAGGTAGCTGACCCGAGACAATCAAGGAAGGGCTCACCTTCTGAAGAGGATCATAAGGTCACCATTGTTGAGCTCTCCAAAGTCCGTCGGAAAGAAAGATTGATTAGACTGTAAAGGGATGGGAATCCATATGTGGGCACACGGCCAGTGAGATGTTATACGAATGGCGTAAAGGTCGCGGAATACGTCATTGAGCTAACTTTCCGTCCGAAAATTTTCCCTAAAATTTCAACTGAGAGACCTTACGATGGACTATCACTGCTTCGGATCAACAACATCCTCTAGTTACCAGTACTACCTCAACGAAGAAGCGCTTCACCTCATTGGAGCTCTCATTGTACGCCCAGCCTGGCAGGACCATCCGATCCTGTGGATCTGTAGTGGACGAGATGGGAGGCTCCTCGCATAGCATTAGTAGTAAGCCGTCCCTGCCTGCTGACGGCTCTGGCAAGATACTTATGAGGCCAACACCCAGCTAAGCTACGTTGCTTGAGTATGGCCTCCAGTCCACCATTGCTTGGGCAGTTAGTGAGAAGGTTCGATACATTCAAATTCGTGCTCCTCGGCGAGCCGACCCCTTCCAAGAATCTAGCGAGGCACCCCATCCAAGAGCATTATCGTCGTCTACCACATACCTCAACACGCGATGATCTCCCTCATAGCTGACGTACAACTCGCCCTTACCACCACCTTCATACCTGCCATTCACGGTCAGGCCTTCCGCGTCACCTAACAGTTACAACAACACCGCTTTTAGGGTATTGAGACGATTTGGTCCAGGGTCGGCTATACTCCAACGAGAGTACGCGCCCTATGATGATGATGGTTCATAGTATACTACTGTTTGGTATCGAAAGAACTTCGACAGCAGCACTTGTCTGTTGTTCACCAGGAGATATCTCATGCACTCCTCTGCTCTCCAAGTATGAGCGACGTACTACTCCTAACCATCGCTACTCACCCTCAATAGACCCGAATGGTATGGTCTGCCCTTGTGAGTCATGCATAGGGGACAACAAAGCCTCCTTAACATCATACTCTACAGCATCGCGAGTCGACGAAAGGTTCATCCGCACGAATAGCCTGATGACAAGCACCTTTCCAGTTGCCATCAAAGAGGAGTACCCTCGGTCGGATACGGTGAGGACTTCCGACCCATCCGGTGTGACGATGATGGAACTGAGGCCACCAAACTGCGACCCTGTCGTGTTTGTTTGCTGAAGTCTTAGCGTCTGAATATGCCTCAGAGTGCCTAAGCAAGAGGCGGCTCGAATTCAATCGGAGGCTCCTGTTCAAGCTGACCTAGGGAGCTAGTGATAGTATCCACACTGCTACCATTACGCAATGGTAACTTCCACTGTTCAAGCGATACAGTAGTACTCTGCTGGCAAGCAGCCACACATAGGAAAGATACGAAATAGGCCAGGGACATGGGGCGAACTGACGAAAGGCACTTCATTCCAAAACAAGGGCTTAAGAACTACAAACATTTGTATTGCCAAACTTGCAGGGCAACAGGGTTCCCATAGACATGCTCGATCCCAGTTGAATATCAGAATATGCACATACGTACAAGATAGCAACAATAGTATGAGCTCGACTCGGTCAAACCACTCGCAACGATTAGAGATTAAACACTCGCAAGGGTCGTTTCAACTCTCTACGACGACAAACACTCACATGCCCTTGAAAAACGTAACAGTTTAATACTCGTAGGTGTCTCAGGTGATAGGCACTCCG